GGGAAATCCAAATGGATATTTGTCCTTAGCACAACTAGGTCCTTATATGTGGGTCAAAAGGAAAAGGGTAAATTCCAACATTCTAGTTTTCTGGCCGGAGGTGCAACCACCGCAGCTGGAAGATTAGTTGCTCGTGATGGTGTTCTTGAGGTACGAACACACTCATGCATGCATGAACGTAATTGTAATGTCTTGTTCGTATAATCCTCGATAGTATTTGTTACTCACTTTTTGCGTCATTGCTTTTCAGGCTATATGGCCATACAGTGGTCACTATCACCCAACGGAAGAGAACTTCATGGAATTCATTAGCTTCCTCGAGGAAAATCATGTAAATCTCACTAATGTTAAGGTAAACTCTTAATGCCCTTGCTGTTTAATTATTATGGGGTAAAAAATTAGTCAAGTAATTCAACTCTCTTGACTATGGAAATTGGATTTAATCTATAAAATCCTCTTTCTTCAATTGGCCTTTCAATTAGTATAGGAAACTTCTCCATTTTCCAACCAGTTATTACTTGTTGGATAAATTCGCTCATGGGGCTTGCAATATTATTGTTTTTCTTCACAGAAGTGTGCTGTTGATGATGACTACATTTATGGGCAAGCCCCAGCCGAGGAACCCAAACCAGGATCAGTTGTCGGTTCTGATGAAACCAGGAAAGCTGATGTACGTGATGGAGGTGACAGCATCAGGGGGACAACAGCCACAGATGATAATCACCAAGATGAAAAGATTAACACCAAGGGTGCCAACGCGGAAGCACCGGCGTTCCATCTGGCCAAGAGATTGTCATACAAGTGGACCACGGGGGTTGGACCCCGTATCGGGTGCGTGCGGGACTACCCGAGCGAGCTACAGTCGAAAGCACTTGAACAAGTTAACCTGTCACCCAGGGTTGCTCCTGGCCTCGTGAAGTATGGTCCAATTCCTTCGCCGCGGCCCACTCCAAAGATCCACCTTTCGCCAGGCATTGCAAGCATGGGTCTGCCAAGTCCGAGGCCCATAGCAGCAGCAAGCTAAGCCAGTTTTTCGAAGGGGATGGCCTACTAGCTTGCATGCTCAAGGCACTGCTCGTGCCAAAAGAGCACTTCGGAGAATTCACGTGGGAAGATAACAAAGTTACTGACCAAAATGTGCATTCTTTATTTTTTTTATTCATTATTTTTTAATGTAGTTAATTTCCTAGATGTAACCGAGCCAGGCAATTTTTTAATCCTACTTCTGGCTAAAGGTTTTTCGTAATAAATAATCGTGAAGATTATTCATGAATTTGTACTTCTTGTTGTAGTATAAAAGTCGACTTCTTTTCATGCAATTTAAATGGAAATGGAGAGTCCACGTCGAGGTGGTCACGTCTTTCTTGTAAAAAGGGTGTGAGGTAATAATTTTATGTGCACGACAAGAAGAAATACATGCATAAATTACCTTTTGCAGAAAGCCAGAAGATCATGGAAGCCATATCAAGCCTCCCAGCCACAGTGACTCATCATATCATAACTGAGACAAACGCCTAAATAGGCATTATAAATGTCAAAATCATTTCCATAGAATTCTATTTAATAGGATCAAAGTTCAGAGCATCTTGATTAGGGATATCGATGGAGTTAGTTTGGAGTGGGGATCTGCTTCTTTAACTTTGTCCTCATCCTTGCCTTCACGGGGATCTAGAGAGGAGGAAGAAGAATTCCTGCTTCACATTAATTTATTTCTTTTATGACATTAAAATATCATATTTAATTATTTTTAATTTACCAAATGAAAATTCATCTTACAAATTTTGACCAAATAAAAATTGTATTTAGTTTAATTTTATATTAAATACTTTTAAAGTAATGTTTTTGTTATTTTATTAAATATAAAAGTATAAAATAAATTATTAATTTATATAATTATTATATAATGTAAAAATATTTATTAATTCTATGCATAATGGGAGCAGGGTGGGAGCTCTGCCATTACCCGTCCTGGCCGCGACTTCAATTTTCCCCGCTCTCTTCTCCGAGTCGTCACATTTTAGTGCATCGGAGTGGCGAATCGGATTTTCTGTTGAGTTGGGGTGAAATCGACGTACTATTGCTAGTCTCCTAACCCCTAAACTTAGGCAGACACGGGCACACATGCACTAAACGTTCCCATCTCTCTAGCTGGTCGGTCTATACAGTAGCGTAGCCATGCTAGGCGGGCTGTGTGCGCCAGTGTCTTCTATGACACTGCCAGCTTATATGCTAAACCACAAGCCACAATCATCTCAATCTAAAGGTTGCATTTTTTTTGTTTTTTTTACTGTGACTTCCCTTGTCACGACTCATGACCAACGCAACGTTTCTCCAGGAGTTTCATGCAGGCTAAAGTACCTCCTTTTTTCTTTATGCTTAATCGATCAGAATTAACCAGCATTTACTACTACTCCTCCTTTTTCCCTTACCATAGTTAACCTTTTTTGTCTTCACTCATGTCCGAGCAGAACCTGCTGATGAACAAGCTTCTTGTTTTTTCTTCCACTTTAGTTGCTTTTTCTCCATCATCAGTGCTGACATTAGGAACTGAGAAGTGGTCTGCTGAGTACTGAATTATACAGTAGTAGTATATAATAAATGAAGAGGCAGCGCCACCTTAAGCTATGGGTGTTCCCGAAGCTTGCCTGAGATTAACTTTCAGCCATGGCAAAAGAAAACCCCGTGGTCTATAACCAACCCCCTTTTGCTGAGCGAATGAATAGGAAAAAAAAAAAAAACATGGTTTGGAGGTATATATTTACAAGGATTGAATTTAAAAGTTGGAACTGATTCACTTTCTGTTCTTTTTCTCCTTGAAAATGCCCGGTTATCAGCTTTCTGTTTTTCATGAAGTGATTCTTATCTTGTAAATCTAGCAAATTATTTAGATTAAGCACTTGCTTCTCAGCCTTTGCTTTTATGTGTTTATTAGTTTCTTTGCATCCCTACGATGATCGACATGCATGTTAAAAGTAGTGTGTGATCAATTCGTGAGCACTTTGTTGATAAATTCATCTTGCGGAATGCATACTTTCTCAACGAGTTGTTATTCTCTTTCCGGGTAGAAATCGTTGAGCTGTTGTTGGCAGTTACCTGATATATATAAAGGTCCAATGAACTTAAAAAGTTTGATCTTGTTTGTTAATATCTTGTTCATTTTGTTTGATGTTCAGGCTTTAGACATAAGATTGAAAATGCAAATTCAGAAAATGATTCTTAAAAAAAGTGAAAAGTTGGAGCTGATTTATCAAACAAAATATTTTTCTTCTGACGTAAAAGTGTTAGGTCTTCAGATCCAGACAACAACTTTTTGATTTGGACTTTGGTACCTGCCTTGCCATGGGGTTGTACTGCACATTTCCAACAAGTCCAAACGTCAAATTTCAAACATATCAACGCCTTCTATTTATTTGATCATGACCTTTTACTTTTTCTTTTTTTTTTTCTGCCATAAACACTTGTTGCGCATTAGGATTTATATAGAAACTTTGTATAGTTACAAGGACTAAGAATTAATTAGAATTTAAGTGTGCGGTTGACAACTGTGTCAATGCCTCCGCCATTACGTACGTACGTCCTAGTGCTAAACCTGGCATGACCAAACACTTGGCTGTAGTAATGTTTGTATGTAGATTTTATATTGTAAATAATAAATTAAATTGTACGTGTAATCAAGTGACATTTTGATGGGAAAAAAGAAAAAGAAAAGAAAAGCGAGTACTGATCAATTAATTATACAGGGAAGGAGTCCAAAAATTAGTGATGAGACAATGATGTGAGGCAGTGAAAGAGCACCGCTTTGAATGTAGAAGCTGTTTGAAAGAAGACCACCACATTTGCTCTACTGTCTGACCAGTCGCCATTTAATCACTAAAATCCACGCTTTTGTCATTAAGCCGATGGTCCTGATCAAAGTGGTCGTGTCTGTTCCTTATCAAACCAACCTGTTCTGATATTGACCCAACTGGCACTATTTTACTTAAAGACTCTCATTTTCATTTCGTTTATTTGTGTGAATGCCTTGACACAGGGCATAGTTTCCAATTATCCAATTGTACTTACTGCTTTTCTAGTCAAGCGATGAGGGCTCTGCAACTCTGCAGTGTAGGCACGCAGCCTAAGGATTTTAACTGCATTCCCAAGTTTCATAGGGCTGGCGTTGGGCTATTACTAGGGCCATAAAACGGGAAACCATCCTTTTGGGAATGGCCACTATCAGTGCCTCAGTGCAAGTTTGATTGGTAATTTTGTTTTTTCAGGAAATAAAGAAGGCTAAATGAAAAGTGAATTGGCTTCGACAAAAGGGGAATGATTAATTTTTTTATTAACCCTCGTTTTCTTTTCATGATTGATCGAATTGTTTAATTTTTTTAATAAAATTAAAATGTAAATTTATATTATTTATTTTTATATTTTGTTAAAATTAAATTAAAATAATTTGATGTTAATATTATAGTCTATAATATAATATAACATAAAAAAGTAGATTAAATTTTAATATTATATACAAATTTAAAAATATAAGTCTGTGTAAGAAATCGATCTTATAATAGATAAGAGAAGAGATTCACTATGTAAAAGGCAAGATTAGATCCTCTTTTCTATCTATAATAATATAAAATTTTCAACTATTGAAAAGTTAAAAAAAAATACTAACTTTTAAAAAATAAAAAAAGATATTAATGTATTGAATGCCAGTAATTAATCTTATTAAAATTATTTTCGTTATTAATTATGTATAAAAATTAGATATAATTTTATATTTTAAATTTTTATTAATATAAATTATGTATACATAAATTTTTACACGACTTTATGTACTTTTATTATAGTAGATAATTACTAAGGTAAATTTATAGACTAGCATAAACAATTTAATTAACGAGTAAAAAGGACTCATGCCAAAGTTGTGGTCGGTGCTACTAGCAAATATAAGAGTGCCCAAAGAACAAATGAAGAGTTCTAGATATATACGTAGACAAGAATTTTCAACTCACTGCACCCTTTCAAAATCTACCACTACTGGTAGAGTTGTCAAAAGGAAAAAGGCGCATGATCAGGAAAGCAGGTGTTCCCTAGGTCCTAATCTGTTTGATAAGAAAGGCAGAATAACTTGTCTGTGAAGCAAGATCTCTCTACCAAGACATCTGGGGGAGAGAGAGATTTGCTTAGCTCCTTAATCCAATTTGTTTTATTTGTATTTATGAACGAATATAGTGGATGGTGCTTTTCCCATATTTGGCTTGTTTCTATAAGATTGGTTTACAGAGTTTTCTATTCCAAACTGTTCTGCTGTTCCTCTTGAACTGAGCACTCCTCTCTCTCTGTCTCTTGAATAAAGAGCGTCATCGCATCCACATTGGAGGGCTCTGAGGAAAATGAAGCGAAGAACGTATTATTATCTCATTGTTGCTTTGCATATCATAAGCTGGATTCTAGTATCAACCAGGTCTTTAGCATCTCATGATGTTACTTCTCAACAAGGTTTGTTATATATTCATTCATCTTGATATACTGCAGCTCCATTTGTCTGATTCACGTACTTTTCGCTAGATAATTGTTTTCTTTGCCAGTTTTTGGCTTTTCCCCCCTACTTTCAGCAGCAAAAGCTTCTTTATAACCTTTTCTTATACTGGTTCTGGCCACAACTTTTTCTTTAATGTGGATAAAAGAATCCAACTCCTAAACATTTGGTTTCACACAACTTTTCCCTGTCAATTTCTTCTTTTGGTGTTTTACTAATTATCTAAACTTGATCAATCAGATAAAGTTCCAGAGTTCAAGGGGGTTCCCATTGACTCTAAACAGGTTCCTTAAGTTTACTCTCTTCCTTGCTAATTTTCAGACTTGAATGATGATCTTGTTCTCTTTTTGGGGTTTTATCTTTTGCCTAGTTTTTGACCACCGGAGTTGTTTTTATAATTTGACCTTTCAGGGTCTTGAAAGTAAGGGTGGAGTCGTTTATGGGAGCGAAGAAACATGTAGTAGAATGCTGGGAAGACTTGGATCAAGGCCACCAAACTGTCGGCGCAAGTGTGGACGCTGCACTCCTTGTGTGGCCACTCAAATTCCTGCAACTTCTGATAAACTGGGAATTCAATATGCCAATTATGAGCCTGAAGGATGGAAATGCAAATGTGGCTCCACTTTCTTCAATCCATAAATGCCTGGGGTCAATCGCAACGGCTTTTCTAGCTCTCTCTCTCTCTCTCTCTCTCTCTCTCTCTCTCTTTCTATCACTCTCTCTCTCTATATATATGTATGTGTGTGTGTGCTACTGGGTATCTGTATATATCTCTGCATTACCCCAAGTTGTATACTCGATTTCACTTTTATCTTTCTTTCTTTGTTTCTTCTTCTTCTTCTTCTTCTCTGAATAAAAAAAAAAAGAAAATTTTGGGTGTTAATCTTCTAAGGTAGCTACTGAAATACATGGAAAAGGTTTCAAATTCATGGTCAGTTGGTAATGGAATGTTCGGAACAGCCATGCACCATATATCAATTTAATCATATAATAAAACTAGCTGAAAATTTTTTTTTAAAAAATTCTTAAACAAGATTATATTTTGTTTATGTAATTTTCTTTATCTCGCTACTTACCTTATATAGCAAGTTTTGAAGATAATTAAGTTTAAAATCGAACATTATGTCCACAAATGATAAAGGATAATCTTCATCAGAAGGTATGTTTCGGTATTAGATATGTAGGTAATGATTGATTTTAGTGTTGATAGAGTTAATGCATTCCTTATAAGTCAATGGGACATGGAAACACATTATTAAAGCATTAAGTTGAATGAAGACTTTTCTTACTTGATGGAACCTGAAAATACATTATTAGTGTTATTTAAATCATTACATTGAATGAAGACTTTCTTATATTTATAGTCGTCATGAAGTTTTTATGATGAGTCATATTTGGTGATATCGTAAGTTAATTTAATTATATTTTTTTTAAATAATGAGATTCATTGTTTATTTTATAAATGAGAAACGTAATCATCTAATCATTTCATGAGTTTATCAGTGTCTAATCTTGGTAAAATATTAACTAAAAAATTTTATAATTTTATAATTATATTTATAATAATTTTTATATTATTTAACAAAACATGTCTAATTTTGTGGATTTTATCTCACTAGTTAATGGTAACAATTGTAAACATAAAGTAAAACAAGGTTTTATTAAATTTGATGCTGAAAATAGTAATAATGTATTTGTGTGTTTAGCCGATTGACTTATAGGCATACATTAATTTTAAGCATAATATTTAAAAATTTTAATTAACTATTTAAAATTTTTAAATAAATTTTTATTTTTTATTACATTCAATTAATATTTTTATTTTTATTTTTATTAAATAATTTTTTATAAATAATGATGGATTAATTATTATTAATTAAAATGTTCATTATAATTTTATATCTATGTAGTGTTGACATAGTATTAATGTGAAAAATAAAAAAATGATATTATATTATTATGTTATATGAATATAACATGTTATTGTTCATTATAATATGATAACATGTTATATTAGTGTTATGTTAGTGTCACGTAATATAGAATTATAAGTAATATATTAATTAAGTCAACTATTAATAATAAGAGTTTATTTGATTTAAAATATATATATATAAATATTTATTTAATTTAAAATAAAAATATATTTAAATTCTTCTGAATAGATTAAATACTTTTTTATATATTATGTTCTAACTTTATCAATTTCCCAATAGCATTTCCAATATTAAATCTTTTCATGTAAAGATTATATTCCTATTAAAACAGAGTTTTAGTGGATAGATTCCCAGCTTATCTTTTTTGGGTACGTGTTCAATCTTGATGTCACATCTATTGATTATCTGTATGGTTAAGGGGTAACAACTCGATACATGTTTAAACCAGTTTTGAAAACTTTTCTTTTGTCATCTTTGCATCAAATCAATATGTATTGAAATGATTTAACAATTAAATTTTAAATTTACATTAAACAAGTTCAAATTAGGCTTTGATCTTACTCAAGGAAAATTTTTAAAATCTTTTGTTGCGTTTTATGTAACGTATGTATGGTAGGGCGTTACTCATGAAAGGCTATTTAAATTAATTTTACGAGAATTCTATTAAAATTGATTAAATAAAATAAAAATGTTAAATTTATAGAGTGAAAGATATTGTTATAATAAATAATATGTACAAAATTTGAAATTTTTTTAATAAGTTTTGATATTTTTTGAAAAATAATTTTATTAAAAATTATAATAAAAGTTTTTATCATTGAATACAAATAGTCTTTTTGTATATATTATTAAAATTTATTAATGCATAAATCTTAATTTTTAAAATTATTTGTATTTAATATTTTTATTGAAATATTTACAAACTTTGGGTAGTCAAAAAATAACTTGTTGAAGGAAATTTTATATATTTGGTAAGATTACCGAATATATAAAAAAGTATTTTTCAATTTTTGAAATATTTTTTTATTTTGATTATTAGTAAGATTTAAATCTATTATAAATATGTATTTATGAAAAGATGATTATTGAAATATTTTTTTATTATAATTATTAGTAAGATTTATTTCATTTATAAATAAAAAATTTAATTATATTGAATGATTTTATTAAAATAATATTTTTAATTGTAATAATATTGTATAATTTAAATATTAATATTGAAATTAATTTTTTTAAAATTAAATATTAATATTTTTATTTTTTAATATTTTAAGTTAAATATTAATATTTATCAAACTTACACTCATAAACTTATTTTTATTGTTTTTTGAAAAATGTCTTATGTCTTTCAAAGATGTAAGATATTTTTTATAATTAGTCCTATTAACTTGTAAAATATTTTATATCTGAAATTAATTTTTTATTTATAAAATAAATATAAATTTTAAAAAATATTTTATTATAAAACAAACGAACCCTTAACTTTAATGAATTCTATATAAGTTCCTCCGTGTCATCTTCTGGTGTACGTAGCCAAGAGCCGCAAGTTGAACTCTGGGCTCGGCAGACATTCCCCATTTTAATGGACCCAATGGCCCATGTTCAATTGGATTGTAGACATTGCAGACGGCTCAATTGGATTTTTAGCTCGGCTCATATTTGCGCCGAGAGCATGCTAAACTAAAGTGTTCGGATAAAAAAGATCACGTGGCAAACTGACTCCGATAGATTTCAGACGGATAAAAAAGCACGTGACGGAGGAAGCCCTCCCCTTGACAGTGGCGCGAAAATACATTTTTTACTCAAGAGGAACTTTCGCATCCTTTGCACGCGTACCAAACACGCGTGGCCTAGCATCTCTCGCTCTCTCTCTCTCTCTCTATCTCTCTCTCTATCAAACCCAGAAATTTATTTTTATTTTCATTTTTTAAAAAAGAAAAAGGAAAGCAAGAAAGCGAGGAAAAAGAAAAAGAAAGAGAGAGACCCACACAGAACAAAAACAGACACGTCCTCCGTCGTTCGTTCGCTTCGATTGGATCAAATCCATAATGCGAGAAAACAAAGTTTTTAGAGAGAGAAAATATGCAAATTTACCTGTTTTTAGAGAGAGAAATAGAATTATGATTTCTTAGCTACGTCTGCCCTCTTTGGATTAACCTAACATAACCCTAGTGTTTTTTTGTTTAATTTTATTTCTTTTTTTGATTTAAAACAAACACGGAACTCTAGATCTTTTTTATTTTTTTCCCTCTTGATTTTTCTGTAGAATTTTTTTATTTATTTCAAGTGATCGAAAATTTGGATGTGTTGGAATTGTCGTTGCGGTTGATTCGGTGTTTAGTGTCACCGTATAATTTCCTCGTTTTTTTTATTTGGGGGATTTTCTAAATTAGGGTTTCGGATTATAGTTAGGGTTTCGAATTTTCTTCCTTCTTTTTTTACTTATTTTAAGTCGAGTTGATGGAGCCTCGTGTGGGTAATAAGTTTCGTCTTGGTCGTAAGATCGGTAGCGGTTCTTTTGGAGAGATCTATCTGGGTTTGTTAAATATTCTTTTTCGTTTGATTTTTCCTTTTTTTTAGTATAATTTGGTGATTGATTTTTTTTCTCTGCAGGTACGAATATTCAGACGAATGAAGAGGTTGCCATTAAGCTTGTAAGCAGTACTTGCTTATTTCTATTTTTGTTGAATATTGTATGATTTTCTTGCTTTTCTTGTTTGTTTATTTCTAACTTTAGTTTGTTGCATGATAGTGTGTTCGTTTATAAAATAGCAATGTAGTTGTTGTGCTGGTTTAGGTTTTAATTCGATCCCGCTGTTCATTAGATTTCTTGTGTAAACAGGATCATTTATAACTTAGTGATGCAGTTGAGTCATAGTTTATTTTGAAGCAAAAAAGTTTAGAAATCTGCTATGGTATAATTAATTGGTTTCTAGATAATATGTAGCGGAAAGATAAATAAAAATGCTTTTATTTAAGTCAAGTTCTATTTCAACTTATAGGAGGTCATTTGAGTGTATTGTCTTGGATAGAAGTATACTGTTCATGGGAAGCATGACAGTATTTTGCTTGACCTGGTGTTGAATCTTTTTTACAGTTTTTTGGTTTGTGTTAAACAAACGATAATCATAGTTTGTGGACTCCCTTGATGGAAAAAGGGGAAACAGTGAAGCAGACTATTAATTAAGCTTTAACAGGATGGGATTATCATATCTCATCAAATGGAGGATCAAATTAGTTCATAAGTAATTTCTTTTTATTTTCTAATGGTTGGCTGGCATCATAGTGGATAAGAAGAATATACTTTGGGTGGTTATCTCCTGAGATAAATAAGGTTCAACTCCATGACTTCCTTTGTAAGTCTTGATTATCATGGTATGTACATTATTCTCATAATTTTCTTGATATTCGGTGCGAATTGGTTGAACGCCAATCAATGATACTTATTAGTTTTTATGAGGGGGCGTTTTCATTTTGAATAAGATAATTAACTAATAACTTTCGACTTTAATTAATGGTTTGATTCAATTGGTTCCAAGTTCTAATGTTCTGTACAATAATTGCTTTCTTATATTTAGTAATTTGATAGTGATTTTCTCCTTTGATGCTGTCGTTTTAACCATAATAAATTCTTTTGGTATATGAGGAAGTTTATGACCTTTTTTATACTTCTTTTAATGATCAGGAAAATGTGAAGACTAAGCATCCTCAGCTGCTATATGAATCAAAGTTATACAGGATCCTGCAGGGAGGAAGTAATGATGCTTTGAGTTGTCTTTTGGTTTTCTAGAACATAAAGTTCTTTGTTCAATATTTCATATTTATAAATCATATTGTTTCTTATGACTGCAACTGTTGACTGCCCCTTCTTGATCTTCCTCTTGGCAGCTGGGATTCCAAATGTGAGATGGTTCGGAGCTGAGGGAGATTATAATGTTCTGGTTATGGATTTGCTTGGACCTAGTCTTGAAGATCTATTTAATTTCTGCAGTAGGAAACTCTCATTGAAGTCAGTTCTCATGCTTGCAGATCAAATGGTAGCTTCGTTGAATGTCATGTATCTGCTAATTCATTTCCTTTATTTTAATGTCTTATCACTTTATGCAATTTTGTTTTTTTTGCCCAGATCAATCGTGTCGAATTTGTTCATTCAAAATCATTCCTACATCGAGATATTAAGCCCGACAATTTTCTCATGGGCTTGGGAAGGCGTGCGAATCAGGTTTCTCTATTCTGGTCAAAATATCATTATGACAGATGTCTTTTTTTTCGGTTATATGTTGCAGGAGATTTTAATATTTTATTTCTTTTCACTTTCACATAGGTCTACATCATCGACTTTGGTCTGGCTAAGAAATATAGAGACAGTTCAACGCATCAACACATTCCTTACAGGTGAGAGAAGTTTGCATGTCTATGATCTAATGTATTTTACATGTAGTTTCAAAGGAGTGTATTTGTTTCAATTACCCCCCCCCCCCCCTTTCCCCTTAAAATGGAAGAAATACTTTTATTTCATCCCTTCTTTATTTCTCATCTTCTTGAGTTGTTTACTAATACCAACATGGTCATCTGAGCTGATTCCCTTCTTTGTTCTTCACCTCCTCGCTTAGAAGGGGTGAGTTCTGAAGGATTCCCTTAACTTTTCTGTGATTATTATGGATTTATGCATATAAATCTACCATATATTTTTGGAATGAAAATGTTCACAGAGAAATGATATTATACTCAATACATAACTCATGTCAATGTGTGAATGAATTAATATGATGCAAAAATAAATTCAAGCATTGGACATTGCCAATAAAATAAAGTTATTAACTTTTATTTTGGGCTCTAGTACCTTAGAACACATGTTTCCATTTCCAGTTTTGTTCCATAATCAGTCTGCAATTTAATTGAGCTGTCTGGTCCTGGTTTGTTTTGTCTTCTGAGTTTTGGGATTCTCCAATAAGGTTGGTTATAACATTTTAACTTATAGCTGTAATCTTTTAGCATGGCATTTATTTGTGATTTTCCAAGATCAAGCATTGTGAAGAACTGTCACAAGGGTAGTACCTGTACTTGTAGTGGTGGAAATGATGATGCATCCGACTTCTTTGCTTTGCACCAGCATGTTCTATGTTCCAATATTCTTTTTACTGATTTTTCTGTTGATAATATGTGGTGGATGTGCCTGGCCAATATTTTATATTCTACCTGGTAATGACTGTTTCAGGGAAAATAAGAATCTGACTGGAACTGCAAGATATGCAAGCATGAACACACACTTGGGCATTGGTATGTATGGTCAATGGTTTACTTCTGGTGTCTTTTCTTTAATTTGTAGGCCTTTCTTCAAGTCTTCTTAATTTTGATTCTTTCTGCCCTTATATACCATGTAGAGCAAAGCCGTAGGGATGATTTAGAGTCTCTTGGATATGTGCTCATGTACTTCCTAAGAGGAAGGTGATTCTTGCTACCTATGCTACATTTTTGGTTGTCTTGTGTTCATTTCCTTAATAGTTTCTTTATTGATGCCTCTTCTTTTAATAGTCTTCCTTGGCAAGGTCTGAAGGCTGGAACTAAGAAACAGAAATATGAGAAAATTAGTGAGAAGAAGGTTTCTACTTCAATCGAGGTAAGGATGTCCTTAAATATTGCAGCTGCATTAGGTTTTGATAAAGGGAATTTGAAGCAATAGAAAGAGGTAGATATGTGGCTTAGAGGTTCTGATTTTACATTCAAAGTTGTGACTGAAGATTGATGCTGTTTCAGGCCTTATGTCGAGGTTATCCAACAGAGTTTGCATCGTACTTCCATTATTGCCGTTCACTAAGGTTTGATGATAAGCCAGACTATGCTTATCTTAAAAGAATATTTCGTGACCTCTTCATTCGTGAAGGTTTGAATTTACAGTCTTAGCAGTACATGCTATCAACATGTGTTGACTCCACAGATCACAGTGACATCACATCTTCTTATTGTTCTTGTTCATTGCTGAACAGGCTTCCAGTTTGATTATGTCTTTGATTGGACCATTTTGAAGTATCAGCAATCACAGCTGGCAACTCCTCCAGCTCGAGCTGTTGTGAGTGCTTAGTAGGGTGTTTTACTTATGTTAGTAATTGGTTGGGAATGCATCTTTTGTAATGCTTCTCCTTGTTAGGGCCCTGGTGCTGGAACAAGTTCTGCCATGCCCCCTGCAATTGCTAATGCTGACAGACATACAGGTAGCTGGTGCTCCTTTCAAATGATTGATTACTGAGGTTTTGATTACTCAAGTGTGCATGTTTACATCCACGCGTGCATGCACAATGTTATTCCTTTCCGAATTTCTTAAAATTCTCTTTGATATTTAATAAGAAAATGAAATACATGCATTAGTATCATCTGATCGCCTTCTTTCAAGTTGGAAAATCAAATTATGCTTGGAATTATACGATTTGCATCTCATTGTTGCAGCAGGGGAGGATGTTCGAGCAGCTGGTTTGTCATCCATGGATTCCTCTCGGCGGAGAACATCAGGACCCTTGATGACTTCTGGAAGTTATGCAAAGCAGAAAAGTCCAGTTGCAAATGACCCTGTAATTACTAAAGATTCTATGGTAAATTTTATGATTATGTGGTTATGTGCATTGCACTTGTATATAGTTATTTGAGATTTGTTATCGATTTTGCATTTTATTCCAGTTACTGTGTTGCGTCCTTTTCAGTTTTGGGCATATCTCTAGTTTTCATTTGTGATGGTACATGACGACCGATATTAGGATATGTCTCTGTCATCTGCAAGTCTCTTTTTAGTTGAATTAGGAGGCTTCGTAGTCATATACTTATGTCCAAAAGTTGGATCTGTGCTTTAGATTCCCTGTACAACATTTTTAGTAACAAATATTGGTAATTTTGAACTGCTCCTATGATGTAGTCCCATTTCCTTTTAGCAGTAGCATTGTATATATCATTTTGTTCTTAACTTTTTAGAGCTAATTTGGATTTTACTTGGATTAAGTTTATGGGGCAGTCTGGTGGATCCACTTCAAGGCGAGTTGCTGTTTCTAGCAGTCGTGATGCATTTGCTGTTAGTTGAGGCTGAGGCCCAGCGTTCTCGTACGACTGATGCTAGCCCTGGAGCATTGCACAAAATTTCAAGTCAACAACGAAGTCCTGTTGAATCTGCTGATGCAAAGCGGACATTGTCTGGGAGAAACACGTTCATGTCAAGAACTACGAAGCTGCGCTCAAGGGAATTGAGGGCCTGCAATTTGAAAGTGATGAGAGAGTTCATTATTGAATGCTCAGCTATATGAATTGTTGTAAACCATGAGATGGTTGATGTACTACTACTACTACATTTTAGAAGAAGTATGCTTCCTTCTTTTTTTTTTTTGGGTGGGGGTGGGGGAGGGGGGCTGTTTTCAAGGAATTTGTAACTTGGGAGCTCCTGGTATGATTTGAGTGCACCCAAAGCATAAAGTTGTCCACCGATGGAAAGCTTGTGAAGTGAGAATTGACTGCATCAAAGTTGTTGCCTGTGAGGCTAGACGGTGTGGTGTGGCTACTATTTTCCTAACAGTTTTTAACTCCTGTTTTTGTGGTGTACCTTTCATTTAAGATATCATATGCTTTCTCAGTCATCTGGACTTCTTGAGGTTTGAAACTTTTATGGCATTGTAAATTTTGTACTGTATTCATGTTACGCCTTGTTCTGACGTTTTCTTTTTTATATTACTGCTCCGAAGCCAAATTTATATGTTCTTTTTTCTTGTAGCGGCTTATCTATTTATATATACAAACGTATTACGGGAAAGTGGGGTTCAAGACAAGGTTATTCTTGTGAACTTAACAGCAGAAAATGGTCATCGATTAATTTTAAGCATTGCTTTGCATCAGGCCCCTTTCTGTTTTCCCTTTCATCTTGTGGGATTTTCTTGTTCCGTTGACCAACTGGAATTAACCCTGAGCTCCCTTTCGAACATCAGTTTGGTTGAAATAAACAACGTCAAAGATTGGACAGGTGGGTTACAAGTAAGAAGTTCCAACGCAGGGATGCTGATGCTGATGCTGCTGCGGGTTATCGGTCTGCTGGTCTCATCTCCCTTTTCACAATCAACAATTGCCTTGACCCGCAATCCCCAACCCTCTGCTGCTAGCCTTGAAATTCGTCAGACTATCACCAGTTCTACCACAAGCATTGGATTTTCATGTTCCAATTGTCAATGTAATTATGCCTCCGGAATCAGATAGCTTACAATTTGGGAAAAGACGAAACGAGCCTTGAACCACAAACAGAAAGCAAAGTTTAAACTCCTCGAAAGGCATCATATTTTAATTAACAATTCTAAAGATATACCCAGGTATACAAAGCAATTTACAACGATTATTAACTTAACGGGACCATTGCGTTAGATCTCAAACATCTTTGGTCTTTACCCACGTATTCATTCAAAGGACCGTGAAACAGTAGAGATTGAACCAACCAACCAAGTAGATTAAATTGACCCACAAATTTACCACCATCCATGAACTACCCTAGTGTACCTATCCTTGAGCCACCTAAAACTCTTCTTTAAAGACCCTTTCACCTTCCCTTCAACAGTGTAAACCTTATAGCTAGCCACCCTCTTCTTCCTCTTCAACTCCGGATCGTTGAAACTCCAGCTCTTTGAAGAAGACCCCTTTGTTGACTTGCCTTTCTTGAACTTAGCATCCGTATTCGGCATCTGGGTCTGGCCAGGGCGCGTTGCTGAGGCATAGGATGCACTGTAACACCTAAGATCTTGCATGCTGTGGATACCGTTCCTAAACGACGAAGTGGGTCCGCTATAGCTCCCTATATGATGCATTCTTCCATCGCCACATGATTTGGATCTCAAGTCTTCCATGAATTCTCACAGAGATTTTGGGGTAGGGAATTGCTCTCTTAATCTCTTGAAGCTAGGAGTTTGAAGCTTCTCTCTCGCAAAGCTGTAGTGTCTATAAATTAAATGGAATTTGTGCTTTGGAGTGTTGTGGAATTATAGAGTTTGATTTCATGGAGACCAGACAATTTTTCTTGTATGATTCTACGATGAGCTGACTTTAAATAATGCAATTGCGTCGGTGGTTCTTACATAAAGTTGGCAAAGGTCGGGTGTTATAAAGCCAAATCCACTCATTCACATGACTTCATGTAGCGCTTGGTTACATTCAACCACATCATTAATTTACGTATTCTACCTGCTAATTGCTTCATTTCAAACGACAAAAAATAGTATCTACTTGTAATACTTAGTTTGCATGTCTACATGTTTTCCTTCATATCACTTCATCAACCTAAAAACCTTCATTAAAGCATTAAAGTTGACCATATTTAGCCTAACCCAAATGATAATTAAATGAGGATACATGGCTCCCACTTTCCGCCACCCGTTATCATGATGGTGTGGCTCTAGGCCCCTTCTATAATTGTTATTACCATAAATGTACTTTTTCATTTCTGGGACAAAGGCTGCTTTGCTGGGCTCCACTCGTGTCAATATCCAGCACACAACTCCATTAAATGATAAAAATATAACGGACTCTTCTCTCTCTTTCTTCTTCTTTTGAAATGCAGCACTTTATCTATAAAAATCATCACAGTAACGAAGATTTCCACTTCCCAAGCGAGAAAAAAACCAAGTTCAGTCTAGACTACAAACAGAGATTAGACAATTTCAGAAACGTGCGCTGTAAACAGGGTTTTTGCCGGAATTGGAATAGCCTCATTTGTTATACTCACAGGGAAGCAATTGAAGAGGGAACTTGCAAACGTTTATGGGCCACGAGATTGTTGCCTCCAAACTCCCACGCCTTACTAATTCCAGTCACGTTTCTCAAAGAGTAAATTATGGGCAAACTGTAGACAAGAGGCCGGGCGTGCATCATGTACAACTTTCCACTGATAAACACAACAGTCAGCGGGATGAAACGTGTACCACATTTGTGGCATTGCTAGTGCTTTATGCTTTCAAAATTGCTTGTGAATTGATGGGATTAACAAATATCCGCTCAGGAAAATGATATTATGGGTCATCAAAACATCTCAGCAGGAAGTGAAATATACAAATCCAAAGCAAGCACAGCAATGCTAGATGATATAGATGAGTTACCACATATAAAACCAATCCACAGCCGCTACTGGATCAAGTTGCATCACTAGGCACCAGGTCGTTGTAAAATGTAGTAGATTAATCTGCTTTCCCTTTGCGATTCATCAAATCATGGTAGTACAGAAGCACACACATCGGCTGACCAAGAATGCTGAAAATGAACCAGAAAATCATATTTCCCACCTGGAATTGGAAGGAAAAATGTCAACTGTCATACGCCAATAGACAGGCATCAGCATACCACAGGAACACGATACTCTAGGTGATAGTCTATATACATTGCATATCCTCGAGCAAAACAAATAAAGGAACAGAAGGAATTCTAGTTGTTAATTTCCCTTTCTTCTCTTCCACCATATGATACCTAGGCTCTTGCTATGCTCAGAATACCCCTACATCACTACAACAAGCCCACTGGCATACATTCAGGTGTTCCAGACTCTCAGAATCAGAAAGCAACTTAACTTCTTAACATTTGCTCCGTATAATTTAACCCTCAAGATGTTCATTCGGAGTGGAAATTTGATACTGATAAACAAATTTTAAAAAGAAAAGAAGCTTCATAGATACAAATCAAAGTAAAAAGCATACCATTGAGCTTCTGAACTTAGTTTGCAGATAATTTGAGATCAAGACCAAGGGAACCTGGGCAAAAATTAGGAAGAAAAGGAGAGACAGAAATCTTTTCATAAATCTCATGTCTGATATTGATTCTTGTTCTACTAGTACTGTAGCATATCAAAGTACTAAGTGATTATTGATCTTCATTTCAATATATTAATGTACCAGACACAAGTACATTCTTACCTGAAACATGATGCCAATAAAAGCCCATAACTTAAATACGTGGCAAGGAACAGCGATGCAGAGCTGTAATAAGTAAACAGAATTATGAAACAACAGAAGCAAAATCAATGCAGCAAAATATATTCATAGGATGAAAGAATTAAACAAAGCATGCGATGGTATACAACAAAAAGATATCTACTTCTAAATTTATAAACTAATACTGTAAATTTTTTTATGCGAAAAGCAACTAATACTGTAAATTACTTCCTCCTTTCTCCCCCTTTGCCCAACCTATGCTCTTGTCATGGCAAAAATCATAAGAAACAAGCACTGGCATCTATTGTTTTTATTTTTGTTCCCATTCTTTCCTCCTTGAGTTGCCAGTTATCCTCACTGATAAGGTAACAGCTCTAAACAGGAAAATAGGATCCTCCAAGACAGTTATGACAGCATAAGATTGCTGATTGTTATGAATCTTGATTACACATTTATTTCACAGTGTGAACGGAAGACGATCAAATGTCCGAAAGAAAAGGTAACAATTGGTGCATAACTAAAGTATAAATATTAAATAGTGAGTATATTCAACATCAGACAACAATAATGCAAGAAAATTAAATAATTATGGAATCTCCACCCTATTCTCCATCAACAAAAGGTAAGTTGAAAGAATAAGACCTATGGGAAAACACATACCTCATGGAATACAGCAGAAACCAAGAAGGCAATAACAATGGCAACTCCCTGAATAAAGAGGGAAAAGGAAAAAATATTGATACAAAAATAAACAACTGACTTGGCAAGTATCACCATTGGGAATAAATAGAACCATGACATAACAGCATGCTTGATGGAAAGTTGCCATATTTCCGTCACTTGAAAACTAATGAGATAGAAATCAAGACTTAGGGGAATTTCACCTTTGGTATACCGTTCCTTAGGCATGGAAAATAGATGTGGCGAGCCATCCATTTGTGAACAGGCTGTAATCAATTAAAATTCTATCAACAATTATGTAGATTTTTCCTTCTAACTGGGAAAACAGAAAATGAGAGAGATAACATTTACTGTAAAAAAAGAGTTAAATAGAAGGTTGGAGATAACACATAGGAAGTATTTTGCTATTCTGAAAATTTATTAGAAATAAGGGAGAGCATAACCAGAGAAGGGAATTCAACAGTGCATGAAGATTCCATTAACATTGCATATTACAGTTGAAACAAGAAAATCATAAGAAAGAAGTTCTAAAATTTTGGGTCATATCAAAAACAGCATAATACGACAGCAATGAGAAGACCAAAAAACTCTGGCAATAATTCAGTATAGCAAGTAGGTTAGGGAAAAAAAACAGATTATGAGTAAAATGAAACGTACCATATTCCACATTCTCCAATACTGATGACAGCCATAAAAAGGAAAATCCATGCAAAAAACACAAATTGTTCACATTGAAGTTCACCAAAGCATTGAAAGAAATATAGCCCAAGAAAACAATTTAGGGCTTCTAGAACTTACCTCCTCAACAGTTTTTGCATTCCACCAATCTTTATAGAACTCACGATCCCCAAAACGGAGGAGCTCAGCTAGTATATTTAACCTGTATTTGTAGATCATAAATAAGGGTAATATGCTGCATGCAACATAAATATTATGCTGCCAAAAGTTTTTTAAATGATCAGATAAGGCCGATCTCTGCACATTGTGCAAGTGAGCTAACGTGTGTGCATGCCTAAAAGTGTATGTGTGTGTGTGAGAGAGAGAGAGAGAGCAATCTTTCACATTAATACTCCATCTTACGGAGCAGATTCTGTCTAAATGGTTAAACCTAGAACCAATATGTACCATGGTCAGGAAAGATAAGTCTTTCCTAGCTCTCCAACACTGTGAAGGAGATAGATGCTGGTGCTTGACATGGTTGGCTAAAGTAAACGCAATTGTAGCTATCAATTGAAAAATCAATTACTTAACCGAAATTACAACAGAAATCTTTTATCACAAAACATAAGCGAAAAAAATTGTATTGTCCAGAAATAATAACTGCAGATATACCAGAGGTGAAAAAAGCAGTAGAACATGCAGAGCCACACGTATAAATTTGGAACTGAAAGCTTCAAAACTCTCTCTATGGCGTATAAAAGGTTCCCCTTCAAAGGGTGTTGAGAGTTCCGAACAATTGGATTGATATACTGCAGCATTATGTACATACATATGAAAAATTTTAGCATCTAACAAAAAAATCCCGAAACAAAAGGCAGAATAAGGGACACTAGTACCAACTGAAGAATTGGCACCCACCTGTTCTATTATGAAACCCATGAGTCCGGTAAATACTATTAACTTGATAAATTGACGAACCACCCAACTTTTTCGAACAGCTGGTGTACGAGGATAGCTTTGCTGCAACGGAAATGATCAACATTCAAAACAAGAGATTGCCAATATCAAGCCATGCTGTTTAATACAATTACAGATTAAACAGTAACACATACAGATTCTAGCTTAGGCATTGGGCACTCATACACACTACATTTGCAGCACAAGACAAAGAATAATTATCAGTCTAGGCACTAAAAAGCATATAATTCTTACCTGGTAACATAATGTGGGTGCTACCATGAAGTATGCCAAACTCTTGAAGCTAACATCATACAAGTGGTCCATATCTCCCTAACATCAACAAGAGGATCATACTGAACGGATCAATAATAATGTAAGTAGGACACATGACATGAATTGAAGTACAGAGAAGGGGGAAGATGTAAAGAGCAATTTCTCTTCCTATTCTAATGAAAAAAATCACACCTAATATTTGACCAGATTTTTTATGTGAACCAAGGAGCATTTTTATGATCAAAAACTTATTTTCCAGGCCATATTTCTCCATTCCCAACCAAACTCAAAAAATTGTGCATAAATCATTGATTGCACACGGTTTAATTGTAAAAAGAGAAAAAAGAGGAACCGCAGGGGGAGGGGGGGGTGAGGGGGGAATAGAGAGAACTACAAGCTTTTGTCTGCAGTAAGCCTGCACAATCTTGATTTTCTTTTATCACAAATACGAACATGCTGTTTACATTAATCAACCTTGAAACTTCAGAAGTAATTTTACTATACCTTTTCAGCTGACTTGGCAAGTGCTCTCATATCATTGTTAGTATGAGCATAGGAGACCAATTTTAACCAGACAATACAAGCAAACAGCATCAATGCCACGCCTGATAAAAATGCAGAATCACACCTGCACAATTCAGAGTGAGTCCAATAATTAAGAATGTTCACAACTCTCCTCTTATTCTTTAAGAATCAGGTGTGAAATACTGAATGGAACACAACACAACTACATAAGACCTAAAAATTAAAGAAATTAAAGAGAGAATTATGTACCAGACAGGAAGTTCCTTCACTGAAATTTTGTTAAGTTATAGTTGAGAAAAGGGCTTGAAAATTCTTACGTGGGCTTAGCCCAGGCTTTCATCTAATGCAAACTTAGATACATGTATATAAACTATATATAAGAAAGAAGTTGAGCATCTTGTAAACCTAGTAGGCTAGAGCAACTTAAACCTTGGAAAGCTGACAAAAGAACATATTTCAATGCTAAGTAGACAATTAATAGATAACAATATAATTGGAATAAAAAGCAAATCCAAAGGAAAGAATGGACGAAAAAAAGAAAGTTCACCTGAGAATAACAATAACTGGATACAAAACCGCAATTGTGCTAATGATTGCATGAAGAAAAACAACAACCTACAATATAGAAATTAGCAGTCAAGTTTTTGCAACTCAAAAACACAATGCATTGTCTGGTTCTCCAGGAAGAGTTAGTACACTTTTTCAAGGGCTGAAGCCAAACATATGAAACAGGGAAGCAATTTCCAGATCACCAATTCTTTTCCATTCAAAGTTCAAGTAAAGTAAAAAAGAAAAAAGGAAACAACAAGCTCAATTTCATCAATAGCTGCAGCCTGCAGTTGAAGCGCTTACAGGTTCAGATATATAATTGCGTTGCACCAACTTTTCAACTACAAAGGCCGCAAGTGGGAAAATCGGGAGAGTAAGACTGCAATGTGCACCACCAAGCGGAACATACTGAGTTAAATGATGATCCAGCCCACAAAACCAAGATGAGAACAATAATCCAAGAAGACATGCCTTCCCTCACATGTGATATTCTTAGCAGAAATTAAAATTAAGCTCAGATTAAGGAAGCATTACCAACACATAAAAAGAGGCCAATCACTCAACGATCTTGAACTAAACCAAAATCCAGATCTAATCAACCACCCATACTGCAGCATTTAACAACAAGAAGAATAATAATAGGCCATTAATCCAATAAACTATAAGTCCATTAATACCAACCAACTAAAATTCAAACACAAACCTTCATTAGGTTTTCAATAATAAGCCGGCTGTTTACAGCTACAAGCACTACTATACAGAGGTTGAACAGACCCGCATGACTCTGCTATTATGTTGAAAAAATCACTAATCAGAGCTAGAAATACTAAATTCAATCAATTCAAGCATTCTATTATTTTTAAAACTATCAAGCTTGTAGTAAACTGTATCAAACCCTAACTAACTACCAGAACAAACTTACACTTAAACTTTAAGATTAAAATAACAGAAAAATATATGAACATTCAACAGAAGTAAAACTTTCAGAGGTGGAAACCGCAAAATTCCACATCAAAGCGATGACTATCTCAAATAAAAAGCACGTATAAATAAAAACCTGTTTGAAGATGGCGCCGGAGCTGAGAGGGCTTTCTTTGATCCTCCGATGAGCGGGAACAGAAGGCCGATACGTGAATATTATATCGGAATTACTTGGCATCTCGTTTGCATTTGCTGCAACGTTACTCATCAAATTGGCCGATTCCACTCGATCTCTATTGTCCACGGCCTCGCCGTTCCCCGAATCGTCAGGGTCCGGAGCTCTGGCTGCGGCGGTGGTGGAGGTTCGACGACGAATTGACAAGAGGTTAAGATCTGAGTCGCTGTGAGAGCTGCTGGCCACCGTTGCCATGCTCCCTAAAATCTCCGGTGGCTCGGATATCGCCATTCAAAAATTAAAAAATACAGACTAAAAGAAAAGGGGAGAGTTCCGGAAGGAAGAAGGTTCAGCGAATTGGTATCAAAATTAGAAGCACGTGCGTAAATAAATATTCATTCATGCAAAGAAGACAGCAAAAAAAAAAAATTAAAAGCGGCGAAGAGCAGAACAGAGCAGAGCAGAGCAGAGCAGAGACAAGAGCGAAATTTCGCGAAATGGCAATGAATGAGTGGAAAGTTTAAACGGCTTTTGATATTTAGACTTGTATTTTTCTTTTAATAAAAATAATTGAAAAAAGGAGATGATGATGAACTGATGATGTAAAGCGGTGGCTGTACTTTTGAGAGGTGGAGGTGACAAAGGAAGTTCTCAAATTTTGTAAATTAGCCGCTTTGGTCCGGTCCTTTGGAAGTTTGCTCCGTTAGTATTTTTCTTTTCAGAGAGGAAAATATGTTCGTGTTCCACGGGAGAGCCGCTGCAAAGGAGGACCGGAAATTACCTTTCCCCTCTTTCTTACACCCTGTTATTCAGGTGCACGTTGCCATGCTGCATCCTCCTACATGATTTTATGGGCCATCCTATGTTGTTTGTTTTTTTAACCATAATCATGTAATTATTACTCTAACTATTAATTTAATACTCCGCGAGAAATACGAGTTTGATTCAGTAGTGTTTCACGTATTAATCCTATGCATTCACGTGGCGATAGCTAATTAGTCAACAGAATCAAGGAACATAATTCTACGAGGAATGAGAAGCTATCTTGGGATCTAATAAAATGGTAGGCCAAGCCGTTAAGCACATGGTAAGATGACCAATTAACGTCTAGGCATTTCACTTTTCAGGCTTCAGCAGCAGCTAATTTCAAAGATACTCGTGTATTGCTAATTGCTGATTACCAGGAATCGTATCCGTGTGGGACTCCTGTCACGCGTGTGGTCTGACCAAGGCATGAAGCCATTGTCCTAATTTCGTGTTTCCTTGTATGAATGAAAATCATTGAATCTTGCATATTATTGTAATGGGTCACAGCTCTTTCTGCATTTTATTCTCTCCTTTTTGTGCAAGAAACCCTCTTGGAACCAAAAAAATAGATAGAGAAATGAACATTTTTAAATTTAGAATATATTATTTTAGTCTCTTATTGTTAAACCTTAATTAATTTTTTTTTTATTTTTTAAAATTTCTAAGCAGTCATGTGCAATAAATTTTTACATGAAAATTTTGAATTACTCTTATAAGAAAAATATATTTTTCGAGGCTTGTATCTTATCTGAAATCTCTCTGTCGTTTTGTCGGTGAGTCGAGGCCCATGCCTTGCGGATACTGTGAAGAAATATATTGAGAAAAAAACAATCTTTTAGTGCAACGTGGATTTTTTTTCAAAAGTAGGAAATAGAAATTTACAAATTTCTTAATTTGAAGACACAATATTATACTTTTATTTTGAAAAGAGAAAAATGAAAAAAAGAAAACCTACATAAGCATGTATTCTGCCAAAATATTAATTGTAAAAAAACAAGGAGTAACATCTGTCAAAATATTTAATGTAACCTCAGATTTTCTGCAAAAGTGCCAACCGCCCTGTCCAAATGGCAGTGTTAATAGCAATGAAGTACTGAAACAGAAATTAAGAGCACAGCAGCGGGGCAACATATTAGTAACTCCTGACAGTTTCAGACTCCGCCGCAGAATCTAGCATGCACTTCTGTTTCCATTCTACTCTCTTCGGGAAGCCCCATTCCACGTTTGGGGCTTGGCCCGAAAAGTCATAATATTCTGTTTCTATTTGAAAATGTAGTTATTTCTATTCCTACATTGCAAGGTTAATTAGCTAAGGTAAGGGTTTATACTATATTTATTTATTTTCTTATTTTCCATTTAATAAATATAACAGATAAACAAGGTACCTGTATAAAATAATAGTCATTCCTCATCCATGCAGATGATCTTATTCAAAGCATGCAATTGAAGGAACTTGGATTATAATATTTAATTAGAAGTAGAGATGACAATTAAACAAGTCAAGTTGAATTTGAATCATATCATTTTAAGTTAAATAATTTTTTTTTTTCAAAATTTGAGTAATTTTAAATTTAAATTATCATGAATTCAAGTTATTTGACACTCAGATTAGTCACATTCAAATCATACATATTTAAATCATTTCAAGTTCGAATTATAAACTTTTAAACTAAAAGTGAACAATTTGAACAAATTATTCAGATCAAATCAAATTTTATCGAAAATAATTAACCATAGCCCAAAAAAAAAAACAAATAAACATGTGCCAAGAAAAATGAAACCCCATATATGGACCTTAGTTACCAAACATGCAACAATAATTGCCCACGATACCAAATAAGCCTATGGCTATAAAATAAGACTTTAAAACAAGGGGGAAAATGAGAAAGAAAGGAAAAAAGAGGGAGAGAACAAATAAACTTGCTAAACAGCTTCCAACTGGCTCCAGTCTCCACTAGCAATGATGGGCAAAATCTCATCAAAGAAGATCAGCAACATTCGCTGGCAGCTCCTCAATAATCACATTATAGAACTTCTGGATGTCAAACAACATCCTTTCATCATCGCTTGTCACAAAGTTGATTGCAACACCCTTCCTCCCAAAACGTCCACTTCGTCCAATACGGTGGAGGTAGTTCTCAGGTTGAGTAGGCAGATCATAGTTTATAACAAGAGAGACTTGCTGGACATCAATACCACGAGCAAGAAGATCGGTGGTGATGAGCACACGAGATGACCCAGAACGAAATTCACGCATGATGATGTCTCTTGTATTCTGGTCCATATCTCCATGGGTGGCAGAGACTGTATGGTCTCTGCTCCGCATTTTGTCTGTCAGCCAGTCAACCTTGCGTCTGGTGTTCACAAAAATGACACTCTGAGTAATGGCTAAGGTTTCATACAGATCACATAGTGTCTCAAGCTTCCATTCTTCCTTATCGACATTGACGTGAAACTGTTTTATACCCTCCAGTGTGAGCTCATCACGCTTCACAAGAATCCTCACAGGTTTATTCATAAATTTTCTGGTGATCTCAAGGGCCTCAGGTGGCATTGTTGCAGAGAAGACACCGACTTGCACTTTTTCTGGCAGAAGCTGGAAAATGTCATAGATCTGATAGCAAGAATTTTTCAATCAGAACGATTAAATAATCAAGGGAAATTCCCTTATCATCAATGACAATATGATCAAGTTTAGGGAAATTGAAAAAGAGAAGGCATGTCAAGCATCGAAAATTGAAGAAAAAAAAACCCAAGAATAAGATTAGAACATTTGATAAAGATTATGGCATAAAACTGACCTGATCCTTAAAACCTCGTGACAGCATTTCATCTGCCTCATCTAACACAAACATCTTAATGTGATCAGCACGAAGTGACTTCCTTCGCAGCATATCAAAAACACGACCAGGAGTGCCAACAACAACATGGACACCACTCGATAAGATGCGTTGGTCTTCACGGACACTGGTCCCACCAACACAAGCATGAACCTTCACACCAAGATAGTCTCCTAGTGCTCGCATAACCTTCTCAATCTGTTGAGCTAACTCCCTAGTGGGTGCCAAAACCAAGGCCTGACATTCCACCAAACTATAATCAAGTTGTTGCAGAATCCCAGAACAAAATGTTGCAGTCTTTCCTGTCCCAGACTGAGCCTGTTGAATCACATCAAGTCCCTTACAGAAGGGAACAATTCCTCTTTGCTGAATTGCAGAGGGTTTTTCAAAACCTACAAAACATAAGCTTGCTTAGTTGATGGACCATGCATGGTATGAGGGGACAAAACAAAGGGACACTTCATAATGCATCAATATTTTAAATCACTTCCCTCTACTGATCACTCAAAAAAGCACATCTACATTACAAAAGGAGGTATAAAAACCTCCTAATTCTATAAAGTGGGAAAAACAAAAGTTGCAAAATAATAGTGAAACAATAGAATACAAAAGACAACATCATTACATATGTACAGAGACACATAAAGAAAGCAAAATTATGTCTACCATATGCATAAATTCCCCTCAAAAGATTCTGTAGCAAACCCATGGCATCAAAAGTATCATAAACTTCATCCCATGAGGCAATAACATCCTGTCCATCAGTCAAAAGGCTGCAGCAATCAACATTTCAAAACAAGAAATTAGTATCTGTATTACAAAAAGAAACAGAACGCAAAGCATTTAAGGAAAAACTGTTTTATTAAACAAAAAGAAAAAAGACAACATCTTTAAACAAAAAGCTAAATGCATCTAACTAGACGAAAAAAAAAAGAGAAACCTCACAAGTCATTCATTTTACTATCAAATTGACGAGCATCAAATTGCGATCCCTCTGCTGCAGCCCCTGCCATAACTGCATAAAAACACAAAAAAATTCAAAACAAGAAATACTTAAAAGGCGACAAAAGAAACGATAATCAAATTAACTATTGACAATGCCACAATATTTGGGACAGAAAACCTGGATTTCAATTCACACAACAATTTCTTTCGTTCCCTGGCCTTTTTGTCCTTTAAGGAAAAGTACCATTACAAACAATTCTCTATTTCTATGTCTAAGGTTCCTCTAAACCAAACAAAATAAGCACTAAAAATACAAGAAAACCAAATCGAAAACCATAAATATAAGTCCTAAAAGTCCAATAAGTATCGATACAATTTGGCAATCAATACGTATCAATTAAATCCTAAATATTTCAATACAGTCAAGAAATTAAAAAGGAAATTATCAAAAGGATGGCCAATTAGAATAAGTTGCAAGTTGCAATATTCTCACCAAAATAGGTAAAAAAAAAAAAACTATGAGCAAACTATTAAAATAAAAATGAAGAAAAGGCCATTAGAAAAAAAACATACCTTGAGATGATGATCGCTGAAAATCGAAAAGTCCAAGTGATAAACAGAAGCTTATTCTGAATAAGGTTTTCGATGAAATTAGAGTTTTTTCCCAAACTCCTCGGATCAACGCCGCGGAGTTTCAAGGAAAAAGATGTTGGAGATGAGCAAAGCGAGAGTGAAGTGAGAGTGACAACGGTTCGGTGTCTCAAATACATGCAGTTTGCCCTCCAAGGGCGTGGGCCTTTTTTGTTACATTTGCGGATTTGCCCCCTGGTTCGTTAACCGAGTCAAACCGTTTAAATTTTAAAAGGGAGTTAGATACGGATCACATATGGGCTTAGGCCCAGACCGTATAACTCATAAATCCCTCGCTTTTTTCCAAGTTTTTTATATTCTAAGTTACAATAAAATTTCTATAAATTAATATTATTTTGATCATGAAAACTTATTAATTAATTTTATATATTAATTAATAAAAATAATTTATCAAGATAATTTTTTATTTTTTAAATAATATTAAATAATATATTTATTATATATTGTGATTATACGAATATTATATAATAATCGAATTACGAATTATTATTATTTTATGCACTTATTTTAGGTCAAAAGACCCCTCAAGTCTCTATATTTTTTAATTTTATTCATTTTAATTTCTGTACTAAAAATTGATGTAATTTAGTCCATTAATTTAAAAAATTACGTTAATTTAATCCTTTACCCTAATGATATCTAATTTTATAGTTAAAGGATGATATCAGCGCTGATGTCAATAATGACGTATCACATTTTGATGACGTGACGTTTGAGATGATAATGTGTCATGTCACATAGCACCAGATGATGACATGGTAATGTCACATGATACTATACGATGATGTGATAATGTTGACATGACACTGACGTACTGGCATATTAATACTGTGGCAAATTAAAATTTTTTTTTTAAAAATCTACCACGTCATAAGGACTAAATTAAACAAAAATATATAGCATAGGGATTAAATTAAACAAAATTAAGATGTTAAGGGACTAAATTGAAAAAATATTTAAAAGGTATAAATCTTTAAGTAGATTGTTGATATGCTTATCAATAAGCTAAATATTTAAGTATAAAAGATTTCTGGTGTTAAAAAATATATATAAATATTTTCTTGCTTGATTATTTGATTCTAAAATATGTCAATTAATTTATCTTTTTTACAAAAATTAAGTTTGAATTCTCCTTTTATAAAAAAAATTTTGAAAAAAATTTATACATAAAGTCAAATTTAGATATATAACTTACATTACGTTAAAATAAAATAATATAAAATGACTAAATATGTTGATTTAGTTACAACTTTCACAATTTACAAATACAACTCTTACCCAATTTACTTTTTATTTAAATTTACTTAAATTAGCAAAATATATTGATTTAGTTACAACTTTTACAATTTACAAATATGCATTCTTTTACAATTATTCAACTCTTACCTAATTTATCTTTTTATTTAAATTTACTCAAAATTTCTTATGAAACGATTTTATTTAAATTCAAATACTACAATCAAATTTTGCTAAATTAAAATTAAAATTATTAATTTGAATCTACAAAAAATTATTACTAAAATAAAATGGTACAAATATTTACAGTTATATTTAACTTTATTAATTATAAATGCAATATTTAATCTAACAAATTTCAACTTAAAAAATATAACTTGAAATATTAAAGTAAATAAAAAATTAGAAAGGTGGAGCTCAGATTCTATGATTTTAGTAAGAAGTTTATCATATCCAAATTAAATAAGTCAAAACGAAAAATTATTTTTATAATTATTGTTAATTCTATATCTCTGTTTTTCATTTTTTTAAAATAAAAATTAAATTAACATATTTTGTTAATTTGACTTTAGCTCAAGTTACAAAATAAGTTAAATAAATTTTAAAAATTTATACTATTATAAATAAAAGAAAAAAATTTAGTCAATTTATATTATTTTATGTTAACGTAATATAAGTTATGCACCTAAATTTGACTTTAGATATAAATTTTTTTTCAAAATTATTTTCATAGAAGGAGTATTCAAACTTAATTTTTTTAAAAATTATAAATTAATTTACATATTCTAAAATCAAATAATTAAGTAATAAAATATTTTTATATATTATTTTACATCATAAATCTTTTATACTTAAATATTTAGCTTATTAATAAGCATATTAATAATTTACTTCAAGATTTATATTTTTTTAATATTTTTTTCAATTTAGTCCCTCAACATCTTAATTTTGTCCAATTTAATCTTTGTATTATATATTTTTGTTCAATTTAGTTTCTATGATGTGACAAAAATTTCTGTTTAGAAATTTTTTTAATTGCCACGTAGCACTGATATGTTAGCGTATAGTGCGGCATTGCTATGTCATCACTCAGTGTCATGTGACATGTCACGTTATCATCTCAAAATGCCATGTCATCAAAATATTATACGTCAGCACTGATGTCATCGCAGACGTTATTCTTTAACAGTAAAATTGGATGTCGTTAGAAGGAGATACTAAATTGGTGCAATTCCCTAAATCAAATGACTAAATTGCTTCGATTTGGAGTACATGGACTAAATTGAACAAAATTAAAGAGTATAGGGACTAAAGGGGTATTTTGACCATTTGTTTAATCAAAATAAGTTCATGAATGTGATTAGTTTTATTAAATAGAAGTCATAAATCTATCTATTTTTGTAACAAATTAAAATTACATTTGATGTATACTTAAATAATATACTTCAAAACTATTAAGTTAAAAAAAATCTAAAAAAACATACAATATCACAAGCAGTAAAATCAAATATAGTACTTCTCATTTCAATGGTGTAAATAAATCAATAATGACAAATCTGAAAAGTTAATGCAATAAAAAGAGTTTGAAATAAGGTTCAATGAGACATCAATTTCAAAGAAAAACAAGTAACATTATAATTATATTTAATAAAAGTTTTTTAATCGAGTCATATATACATATAATTTTAATGTATGAGAACAATATTAATTTATATATCAAGTGGAGATCTATGTGTGTGTGTGTGTGTTTTTTTTTAAATCTAGTATCTTATAAGTTTAGAGAATTATTAATTTACTAAGTTAGTCTTAAGTCGGGAATTGTCAAAAATATTATTTAATCGAGATTATTAATTCATTGAGTATTAATTTATAGAGATTTTACTGTATATTGTTTATGACTTTCTTTTTTTAAAAAAAATTATAAATATATTAATTCAACTGCAAATAAGTATCAAGGATTTATACTTTCAATTCAAAAACTATGTTTATCTAGTAAAGGAAGACTCATAACTTGAAGACGTATTTTTTGTTAATATAAGATTCATGACATTTTATCTAATCTAATTGTGCAATACTCTAATTGTATAAGTATGGAAGAGAAAAGTCCATCTTCATTCGAATCTACTTTAATCTTAATATTTTTTATGAAAGTCTCATATTTGATCTATCTCGATCTTGATATTTTTTGTAAAAATCTCACATCAATAAAGAGTTAGAATAAACTTTTATATTACTTATTATGAATCTAAATTTTCAATCTAGAAAACTTACTTATTAAATGGAAAAAGCTCTTTGTGATTATGTCATTTAAATTTACTTAATAATATCGTATTTATCAAATTTTGGACAAAGTTAAATGCTGACTGATTAACACAATCCACCAGAACTCCTAGGTTCTGGCACAGTCAGTCAATGCCCAGGCACATGTACGAACGTCGGCACGATTATAAGATTGGCTTTGGGTAAGCTTCTCCAAATTTGTCCCTTTCCTTCTTTTCTCGTCTTCTTCCCACGCACAGAGGCAGGCAATACTGATTTCTCACCCTTTCCTTTCAAAGCCCGGATTGACGTTAGGAGAGAATAAAAGAATATCCGAATGGATTGATTCCGTTCTATTAGATACCAAAGGTATTCATGCCATGTTGCTTAAAGTGCATGCAAACTGTAACCACATTTATCTGATACAGAGTTTCACAAGTAAAATGACAACAACATTGTACTCACTTAAATCTGGCAGCACAAAACATGTGATAATCATTTTATGGGCAATTCAAAATGTAATTACCTCTACAAATCATTATAATTTATGTGTTCCTGCTAATCTATTGGAGGATTATGGCATGCTGTTCAAACACATGTTTCAGCTCTATAATCTTTAGCAGGCTTCTCAGTTCTCATGGCCACCCCCAGATTGTGGTATATCTCTGTGACTTTCAAACACAATGGCTATGGAATGTGCACAAATGACTTCCAAACTGTGATATGACATCTACAAGACCCCCATAACCGCCAATTGCAGTAACCTGACAAGAAGTTGGTCAAAACATGAAACGTATTAACAAATACAAAACACAGTTCAAATTAAAGAAGAAAAACTAATAGCAAGCAAGCATCACTGAATGGAAATGGAAATTTGGAACATACACCAGATGGGTGCAATGAGACTGAAAATGCTGATTGAGGAGCACATTGTATCTGTGAAAGTATCATTCCATTCATATCAAAACGGGTGAGTACAGGGTCTGCACCAACAGCTAATATCTGAAATGGAATCACGCAAATTATTAGGTGGAAAGAAGAAAGAAAAGACTAAGGCAACCTGACTTATTTGAAAATGACACATAAGTTTAAGAACAACATTAAGTAAACCATATTGATTAAAAGTCATAAAGTTGGTCTGCTTCAAAAACCCAATTCCAACGTACTTGATTGTCATCAAATACTACATCCTGCATAGATGCACGGCTGGATATATTTGAAATGCATTCAGACGCAGGGAGATTCCAGACTGACAAGCTCCGACCACTGCCACAAGCCTGCAAAGTTAAAAATGTTTCATTCAGGAACCAGAACAGCACATAACACATAATAAGCTTCTACCATAAATTCTCTTTTATTTGATTCTGCCAATACTTGAAGAAAACCTTTTCAATATAATTAATAGGTGTCTGAAAGATCCATGTTAAAGTGGGGAAAACGAAGTGCTCATAAGACCCTAGAATAGGAATCTCTCCAATTAAAATATCTACAGACTTAAATTGCTGAAGTTTAAGAGATTATACTCCAGCAACTGAATTCTAAGAGATTTAACCCGGCACAACCACCAACAATAAGGAGGCATTTCATTCAATGTTATTGAAGGCCAAATCTTTGCTGGGCTGCATAACATCTTATCTATTTGATATTTATAATGAGAAACAATCATAAAAACACCATTCGGATTTCACCCTTAAGCTCTTACCAACCAGCTCTCACTTGCATCTAGAGCAATGCAGCTAACACAGGAGATGAGTCCCTTCAACTTCTTGTCCTTCAGCGGGTCAATTACTTTAATGCACTTTCCACTTTTGCAATCTATTTAAGACCACATATATTAGACAGGTCACAATAGGTCATTATTCAAGACTATGTGTTGAATATAGAAAAATTATTTATTCTTGCCATGTCGGTAATGGTGAATCTTACACTAAACATATTCTGAAGCTAGAACTAGCACATGACAGAGTAAGCTAATTTCAACATAAGATTAAACTAACTCTCTGCAACTCCTTGAAAATAAGAAGACAGACTGTTACCCCATATTCGTGCAGTCCCATCCTCTGAACCAGTGATAATCTGAACACCAAGAAAGATGATAGATTAGGAAGTTTGCTCTGTATCTCAACCTTAGATAGATAGACGGCTACAATCAGCATAAACTATATGGTAATAGCACAAAAGGACCTTTTCTTTTTTTGATGAGTAATATTTCTATTAGCATATAGGATAAATAACCGTGGTTGATTAAATGAATAAAATGACAACCCCAAAAAAGTTCATTTTCTGTCAATTAATAAAATGAAACCCAGACTTAAAACTAAAAGAATAAAGTTGTGACAGTAAGGATTATTAATCCCACTGTCCGAAAGCAAAATTAAAGTAATAACCAAAATAGAGAATCACAGAGGGGAAAAATTGACCTGATTGGAAGAGGCACGGGCCACTATACAATGCAAATAGTCTGAGTGCCCCTTAAAAACCATTTTGATTTCACTCTTCTCCTGAAAGCTCCATTGGAAAGGATGTTAAGACTCAAAGCAGCTAGGAAAATAAAGGGAGGAATTTAAAGCTATATTCCATGAAAATGGAAAGTATTAACAATCATTTCCCAGAGGCAACATGAGGAATGGATTCACTAAAAAACATACCACATCCCAGCAATATGCACAGGAATCACCAGCAGCAGAGAAAATAGATCCCCCCTGTTGTAGCAGAGAGTGGAAAAAGAAACAAATTCATAAAACATAATTAGCCACAAATATAAGCAAATGTCAGTACAACCTACAAATTGGAAGGAAAGGTCTTAAAGACCTGAGGATCAACAGCAATGGCATTATTCTCAGGAATTGGAGAGAGAGCACCCCATGGACCTCTGAAAACAGAAATTAGTTGATAAGAAAGAATAGAATAATAATAAGCAATTCTTTTTCAGTGACTTCATAGTTTTTCCAAAAAGAAAACTAGCAGCCGGGAAAATAATATATAACCAAGTGAACACCAAAAGAGAAAATAAGTAGAAAATAATGTATCACAGGTTCAAAATCATGCATAGGCTTAGACAGAAGAGTAAGGGGAGCAACATATGACATGTCATATACATTAGAAGCTACATGCATAGTCAATCCCACATAATAGGAGAGTAAGGGGAGCAAATGGAGTGCGCCTCTAAAAGATTAACTTTAATGAAGAAGTAGAAGGATATGCATTACCACACACAAAAGCATCTACTATAAGCTGTGATTACTCACTTATGTTGGGGATTGACCAAGTCAAGAACTGGCTTCATATGATTTCCTGCAAAACATTAAACAAAATGGCCAATTAAACACATTCAGCAAAAGCAACACATAACATCATTGAATAATAAGTATGGGCAAACAAAGATTAATTGTAAGATATTATTTGAGGAAAATATAGGCTTCAAACAAAAGATTAATGATTTACTGACTACTATCAACTTGAACTTCTTACACATGCTTCCAGAAGCAACAGCTTCCTAAAGTTCAATGTTTATAGTCATACCAAAGACATGTTGACAACCTCAGCTAAAATGCATGCGAAATTGCATTTCCTACCCAGAGTAGCATTTGAAATTCTGAATGATAGGAAAATACCAGCTGGGTCTCTGCTCGATCTAAGTTTCAAAGACAAAGGATGGTAAAACAAATGGAAAACATTTAACACTAAAAGAAAATTTCAGAGATCACCACAAGAGGACATTAAATTAAGATAAAATAGAGTAGCACTCTCACATACAAAACACATGGGTGATATAAAGTGAAAACTTTGAATGCTATCTTATCGAAAGAATGAGTTAAACAGTTCCAAAATCTGGTACCTTGGAAGGTAATAGGCACCTCCGATTCAGTAAACTCCTTCCACCTCCATCCTTTAATTTTACCATCATCACCACAACTGCAAAAATGCTTTGAAAAAGTGAACTGCAATAATCGAAGGCTCACAGACCATTGGAATGAATTCCAATCAGACTTGGTTAAGTTAACGAATAACAGCAAGATTCAGCTTGAGCTTGAAATACGCTCAACCATGTTCCTACTCTTAATGCACATAATTATATTAAACAAAACTAAAAAAAGGACAGATTTTAATAACATCATATTGAATTAAACCTTAATAACAAAGAATCTTCCCCATTGCCGTAGAATTTCACATCATACGCCGGTCCATCATGCCCTTCAAGGAATCCCTCCGGCTCAGCCGGTAACAGCCTATCAAATTCCACCACAAGCCAAAGCACAACCAGTTACTCTCACTCAAATTCAAAACAGTAATTAATTAACTGATTCAAAGTTCTTTTACCGTTGAGCTCTAGCACTGCAAAAACCAATCGGCTGCATGCACAAGTGAAATTCAAGTGAGAATCATTTCTATTCTTCAATTAAATTCTTCTTTATATATATATATATATATATATATATATATATGAAAAAAAGAAGAGGAGGACTCACGAGTTTGGAGACGCAAGAGGAAACGGAGTAAGAAGCGATCGAACCATCGCTGGAGGCGACGACGACACATTCCGGATTAGGGTTTAAGGAAGGAGCCCAAACGGTTCGGAACACGGTTCGGGTTTGGATCTCTCTTTCCCTCAATATGCTCTCCCTGTACGCTTCTTCGTCCCAATTTGTTGCATCCCCGCACATTTTTCTTAATTTGAATGTTTATGAGGCACGGCTTTCGTGCTCGCTGGGGCTCCGAGCAGCTTTGCCTTCATCAGTTGTCACCATCGTAACTCCAGAGCTTGAAGAAGAGACCGGTGGGAAATGTTGGACACTGTAAACGATGTCGTTTTCAGAGGGGGGAAAACGGGCCAGGGGCCTGAGATTCATTTGGGGCTTTTGGGCTCAACAGGAGTTTCTATGTGGAAAAGCCGTCGTTTAGTTGGTAATTCCGAAAAAAGCAAGAATAGAAATGTACACTCTTTTTTTGACTGTCACCAAAATGAGTTTCGGCATCTCCAAAGCCGCTCTCTGGAGAAAACCCTAAAGATTCTTCCCCTTCTTAATAAAAACCAAACAAAGACTAATCTTTCTATCGCTTTGGGTTTGAAGATCTGATTTAATATTTTCTCATCTCAATATCTGCCCCATAAATCTCTCAGCATTTCCCCAGATTTAGAATCTGCTAAAGTTTTGTCCTTTCAATCCGAGTAAGTTACGTATTGTTAATTTTTTTCACTTAATCACGCAGATCTATTTACTAATTATATCACTTTGCGTATACTTTTGAGGTCGTTTTAATAGATTTATTTAATAGGTTCTTGCTTGTTGCTATGCTTTTTCGCCCTGTTTTCAATTTTGGACATGCATTTTTTTTATTTGTTCAGGTATATTTTGAGAAAATAGCTGAGATATTCAGATAATCTTCTGGGTATATTAAAGTAGCTGAAATTGATTGATTGCCTGAAATGAGTGATAACAATTCACCACCTGGGTCACCCAAAGGAAACCCAGATCAGAATTCTGAGGCTAGCCAATTGCCCAAAGATGATAGTTCGCTTGAAACCATAGTTCGAAGGTTTCAGGATTCCATGTCCTTAGCAAAGAAACACAAGTTTTGGGAAACTCAGCCTGTTGGTCAATTTAAGGATGTTGGGGACACAAGTTTCCCTGAGGGCCCAATCGAGCCTGCGACCCCATTGTCTGAAGTCAAACAGGAACCTTATAACCTTCCGAGTCCTTATGAATGGACCACTTGTGATATGGATTCAGAAGAGACTTGTACTGAGGTTTACAATCTTTTGAAGAACAATTATGTCGAGGATGATGAGAATATGTTTAGGTTCAATTATTCCAAGGAGTTTCTTAGGTGGGCTTTGCGGCCCCCTGGTTATTATAAGAGCTGGCACCTTGGGGTCCGTGCTAAGGCTTCAAAGAAGCTTGTTGCTTTCATTACTGGTGTCCCTGCAAGAATAAGGGTGCGTGATGAAGTTGTGAAGATGGCAGAGATCAATTTCTTGTGTGTTCATAAGAAGCTGAGATCAAAGAGACTTGCACCTGTGATGATTAAGGAGGTTACCAGGAGAGTTCATTTGGAGAATATTTGGCAGGCAGCTTATACAGCTGGAGTTGTTCTTCCGACACCAATTACTACTTGCCAGTACTGGCATAGGTCATTGAACCCCAAGAAGCTTATTGATGTTGGCTTTTCTAGGCTTGGGGCTAGGATGACAATGAGCCGAACCATTAAACTCTACAAGTTACCTGATTCTCCTGCTACCCCTGGATTCAGAAAGATGGAGCTTCGTGATGTCCCTGCCGTCACTAGGTTGCTCAGAAACTACTTGAGCCAGTTCGCTGTTGCTCCAGATTTTGATGAGAATGATGTGGAGCACTGGCTTCTTCCTACTGAGGATGTCATAGATAGTTACTTGGTTGAGAGCCCAGAGACGCATGACATAACTGACTTCTGCAGCTTCTACACTCTTCCTTCGTCTATTCTTGGCAACCAGAACTATTCAATTTTGAAAGCTGCCTACTCTTACTATAACGTCTCCACTAAGACTCCATTGCTTCAGTTGATGAATGATGCTCTTATTGTTGCTAAGCAGAAGGATTTTGATGTTTTCAATGCACTGGATGTCATGCATAACGAGTCTTTCCTCAAAGAATTGAAATTTGGGCCAGGTGATGGGCAACTTCACTACTACCTCTATAATTATCGGATACGAAGTGCCTTGAGACCATCTGAGCTTGGTCTTGTACTCTTATAGGTTGGTTCTGCAGTTTTGATTCCAATTTAGGTTTGGATTGCATCATATTTATTGTTCCACTGCATCCGCCGCTAGGGATGGGGTTGGCAGTGCATGCAAGAGCAGCCTTTATTGTGTTACTGAGCCTTAATTGCTTAGGAAATACAATATTGCTGACATCGCAGATTGTTCTATGGACACAAATAATGTTGAGATTTTGCATGTGGTTTATTCTCAGTCTTTATAATGCTCTTGCAGTTTTTCGTTGCCTTTTCTGCTTATTGGCCCTGTTTCATATTTGATTAATTCCTTTAAAGATTAAACAAAGCTGCAGCAACTGCAGTTTTTCATTACTAATCTGGCGATGAATTGTTGCGTGGTCAATCTGAGGGCGAATGGAGCAGATTGCCTAAAATGACTGTGTGGTCTTTTGGCAAGTGATCTTCGAGTTGCATTAGCTTTGTATATTTGCAATAATCGCATAAGAGGTCTCCTATTGGATGGTGTAAAGTAAGCGCTTGTTCTTTGAATCATGGGCAGCTGAAAATGCCACTCCCCCTCCACTCTTACGCTTTTGACATGCAACAAATGTTAATGATATACTTAGCAACTATTGTCAGCTTGCAACAAGTTTAATTAATTTGCTGCCACTACAAAGAGAACAATATGACATCCTTTATCGTTCAAAACGCCGCAGCTGGCATGAGCTCGCTCATTCTCTGTGGACTATCAATGGCGCCGCTGTTGGAGCGCCAATTTTGCAACCATCCGGGTTGTTATCGTTCTTCCAGTGGAACAAAGGAAAGATGGGGAAGTGGGAAAATTTTTACCTTTGACGCAGTCGAATATGGCTCACACCTCCTGGGTAAACAAAAGCCTCTATACCCCTCTGGTTATGTTACGAAGAAAATGAAACAAGTCAATTTGAAGAGTGATTTCTTTTGAGTTTGACTTGCTTAAGTTATAGGTGGTTTTGAGTTTTGGCTGGAAATTGATTAAATCTTTTACATATGATAGAGCTTTATTTGATTACAGAAGCTTAGCTATCACACCGATAAAATTAAAGAAAATAATTAAATGCCACTTTTTAACTTTTAGAGTTATATTTGATATTAAATACTATCAATCAATCAAAAATCATAAGTGAATTTTTCAGTCAAATTGTTTGCATTTGATGTAAAATGATTTCTGATGATTTTTGTTTCAAAAATTATTTTGATTTTTGTTTAAAGTTGATAAAGCCTCATTTTTGATTTTAAAATTAACTTAAAACGATCCAAACCTAGTTAACAGGAAGATGATGATGAGGTGACCCAATTTTCCATTGACCCAAAGTAACCAAATCCAGCCTGACCCTAGCTTCCCAACTTGCACCTTCCTCACATGCAAAACCCGTTAATCATTAATTTGTCTTACACATGTACTTACGTATTAGAACTTAAGTACAAAAGTTTATTTTTCCTTTTCCTTTCTGTCAATGCGTGGTCCTCTGGAAAGAAAGTACGGATAACTTTGAGAATTCGGAATGGAGAACATTGAACTTTCTGCTGCACTAGCAAGACGCAACAATATTCAAATAACTGGGGAGTAATCTCTCATATGAATTAGTCAAGTCACATCCAAAGAGAAAGAAGAGAAACACTACCAACAATATGTACATGTTCTAATTCAAGGGGTCATCTCTACTGTTAATCCACATTTCCTATGCCATGAGCATAATTTCACCTTGAGAACCTGAAACAATAAAACATACAAAATTTATAAGAAATGGAAACATAATGCTTAATAAAGCAAAAATATGAGCTTGAAATATAATAATACATTACATGTTTCAAAAATCTCTTTGGCCAACTGCAGCAGTGAATTGTATCTTCAGCCATTTTTGAGACTCTTTCTGCCTCTTTTAACTGCTTCAGCTGCAACAAAGGACTTATTTTCTGCTTCAGCAATCAAATAGGCAGCAGTTACTGAGCTTCTTCAACTGAATCACAAGTTACATGCTTAAGCCGCATTCCTTTCTGTTTGGGCTAGGTGTCTTCGTCCCAAATGTCTCATCTTTTCTTATCTTGTACCGATTCTGCACCTGCATTATTATGATAAATAAAGCAAAACAGATTTCATATTTCAGATCTACTATAAAGTTACCCTAACAGAACAATCTGCAAACACAATTTACTTCCACAGCTTTAATAAATTCTTTCGTGGCTCACCACATTTTTTTGTTCTCAGAAATGTATATTTCTTAGCAGTATATACTGCCACAACTACGATAAATTTTTTCTTGGCTCATAACATTTTTCTTTCTCAGAAATATATATTCTTAGTGGCTAGAATTGTATCAGGTAGACTTGTGATCATCACTACAAATTTGCATACATATTTTTTAATATTTTCTATGCAAAAATTTTGGGCCTTCTCAATCAAGAAATGGGTAAAGCTTCGAATGCAAAATGCCTAAGAGGGCCAGAAATCACAAAAAGGCAACAAAAATTTGTAATAAAGTCTAAGAAACGCTACGGTATTTGAACTATTAACTTTTGAGAAAAGTAACTTTAATTAAATATCTTGGAAAAAGTTTCAATGATAAGAATATTATAAGTGTTGTACATCTCCCCAAAGTTATATGTTACTCCATAGAATGATATGTCGAATAGAGGGCATGAGTAATTGCACCATCTAAATGGCTGGAATTTCTCAATATATAAAATTTTGCCATCACAAGGCAACAAAGATATTCAGAAAAAGTTCTAATTAGTCATACTCTGTTAAATTAATCATCCATTAGTCTATCAGAAGCTGATATCCTCGAACGATGTCAATTGCTGGTAACACTAATCGGAAAATCACATTGATGGAGGATATGTGTTTTTCTGTTATAAAAGAAGTTTTATCAGCAATTTGACTCCAATTATATTTTTCCTTTTATTCCAATGAAGACATATGAAAACAGATAAAAGTTCATGAAGACTCTTCTTCACAACTCATATCAACAGACCATTTTGATCCCTAACTAGAAGTGCAGGACCATTGTGCACCAAAGAAGCCCAAAGTCATCTCCCTAATTTATCTCCTATAAATAGGATCTACAGCAATCCTATATTATGAACGATTATTATATTGATAGTAATCTAAATAACTTGAAACTAAACATTTCAAAAACTAGTAGATGGCCATGGGTAAAAAGAAGGATAGAATCATTCACCTTTTCTAGTTTTTCTACTGCAACCAGCCTTTTCAACCTTGAACATAACTGCTTCCTAAAGCTTTGAGGCACCTCTTGCCTTTGCTGCATAATTTTATTAAGGAAAGAACATACTCATGATTTTGATAATGTAAGCAAACAACCAGTGAGAAATTAAGTTACAATGCTGAAAATAAGAACCCAACCAATTAAGATAGAGGACATCAAAACAGTAAGGAAGCAGGAATTTTGAATACCATCCTAGTATTCATGGTCAACCATCATTTGGTATTTCTGTGCACCTTAAATGAAGATTTGGAAAGAAAAGGAGCTACATGGAGGCTGTAGCTAGCTTGAGAAAATTCCAGGTTTGAAAAGCCTTTAGCAGCAAGCCTAACATGCATAGCAGGACCTTAGGCCCGAGTCCCTGACTTAGTTGCTTTAGAGGGGAAGCTTGTCTAGCATAACAGAAATCCACATGCATGGTTTCCTAAGATCCAACTGTTCCTCAAATTCAGTCTTAGCATCAATAATGAGATGTATGGATTTTTTAACAGCCATTTTTACCTCGAGGATGATTAGAGACAATATCTCAAATCAATCTAGCCATATACACAAAGTAGCAGCAAATAAGTCTTCGACATACCAAGTCCACATAGACTTTTGAGATAATCAAACTGTTCTTTTCCTAACCAAACAGGTACCTTTCTCCATGGAAAATAAATTAATGTTCATGAAATGATGAAAAAATGAAAATTACATGGTACCTCAATGTAGCTGATAATTGCTCTGTATATCTGATCCGTTGGCTCTTTCAACGCTGACAAAGCTTCGATAATCATTTCGTTGTACCGGCTACAATTATGTAATAATGTCAAACAGCACAGTACACAAATGCTTATCACAAAGAAATTGAGAAGAAACAATTATCAGCCATAGAGCAGAAACTAAATTCGAAATTTAGTATACCATCAAAACATCTTTAAGAAGCAGCAGGCTTGACCCTTCATTTCATATCAAGAGGAAAAAAAATTCGTTTCTCCTTGATAACTTCATGCAACTATATAGTAACTAAATATGATAAATTAACTAAAACTCCACGAAATTCACTACCATAATCACGGCAAACTTCTCAAATTAACTACCTATACATCAATTAAGAGTTTGGGGAGAATTAATGTATAGCATTGTTATTTGTTACGAAGCATTATAAAGGTTGTTTTTGTTAGGAGATACATACAGTGATGAACAAATGGCCAAATAAATGCATTTTGGAGAGTGAGAGAGAGAGAGAGAGTAAAAAGTGCATACTTTGAAGCGAAGCTTTTTGACGAATCATCAGTGACTGGCTTCGACAAGGCATTTCGCTTAACAGGAACAGAGCTCTGCGGAGTCGAACCGTCGGAGTTTGCTTTGGGCTTTGACGTCCTTGATTTTTCCCGGGAACCATGGCCACCGGAACCACCACTCAAATTCCGCCACTTGTCCTATACAAACAGAATGTCAGATAAAGAAAATAAAATAAATTTTCAAAAGAAAATATTGACAGATGAGGGGGAGGGGGACCTTGAGATCAATGTTGGAGCGAGCGAAGAGGAAGGGGCTTAACTCCGGGTCTCTTTGGATTGATTTCCAATTCCCTTTGCCGTATTTGGCTACTCCTGCTCTCAATGCTTCTTCTTCTTCTGCTGTCCACTTCTGCTTTGGATTCCCCATGCTCTATCTCTCTCTCAACGATGCGCAGCGCCGCTACTGCCGCCCGCGCAACTCTTTCTTCTAAACCGACGGTGACGTTTCAGCTTTGAAAATCGTTCGAATGCTCGGGTCATGTGCCCGTTTACAGGCACATACTTTGCCTTCGTTTATTGGTCACTAATACGACAGCGCTTTAATTTTTGGCGGCTTTTGAGAGGAGTGGGCTTTCTGCACAGTCCACCAATCGTTCTGCTCCACCTGGAATCAAAGGTGAGCTATACCTCCTTAAGTGTTATTGTCGACCAAAGACTCATTTTGCTCATTAAATAACGGTAATATAATTATATTTATAAAGTTGATTAAATTTTCCATTACAACCGATGGTTAAGAATCA